GGTATAAATCGAATAATAAACTAACTAACTAGCTAACTAACTAACTAACTAACTAACTAACTAACTAACTAACTAACTAACTAACTAACTAACTGCAAGACCTGAGCAGGGGCTGTTAATGACAGGCGCTTCTGGAAGCCAGTGCGTCATAGGGTCGCCCTACATCTGAAGTGACTCTAGGGCAGAACACCTCTTCTTCTTCTGGATTATCCCATGCCTTCAAGTCAATGACGGAACAAAGCAGTTTTTCATCATGGAGAACTTTTCTCAACACTGCCTCTCTCTCTACCTTGGCAACCCCCTGAGCCTTTTTGAAAAAGGCTGACTGGGATCAATTTTCAGCACACAGCTCACAAAATGGTCATAAGCAGAACACAAATATTTTAAAAGAGGGGGTGGGAGAATCCAAACAGTATTTGGTTTATTAAAAAAAACTTGGGGCTAGACAGAAGCAATTTCACTTTTTTTTTTTTTTTTTGGCCACATGTATCTTTGGACACTGATGTCACTTGTATTTACAATACCATAGCAACTGTACCTTGAAACATACAGAGCTTGAGCACTTAAGGAATGCACCAAAGCAACTCTTATTTGCAATGATAAGAAAGAAAATCCTACTTTATGTATATCAAACACAGAACTTTTCATTAGTAAGATGACAGAAACAACATCCAGGCCATGGAGCACTTTTCTATTGTTTTATTCCGCTAATGATTAACTTCAGTCTTAACCCAAGACAGCTAAGACCACAATAATTACACAAACCTCTTCCAAAATATGCAGCTAATTAAGCACATTACCTTATGACTAGCTGCTGAAACACCTACTTTCCCCCCTTAGAACAATGGTTACCAACCTTGGTAACCATTGTTAACTTGGTAACCTGCCAAGACTTTGGACTAACAATCAGCCTGAAGAAAACACAAGTCATGGGCCAGGGTGTGGACTCACCTCCTTCTATGGTTATAGAAAGATCCTCTAACGCTTAAATATTTTTCTTCTCACTCAACAATCCCTCGTTTTGTTCTTGAGGTCTTCTTACAGCCCTACCCCAAACAGCCACTCCCAGAAGCCTAGTGACCTTCACCAATTATCAGATAATCATAACCCACGCTTTGAAAAGAGAAGGGAAATTCCCAGAAGACGAATGAGTTCCTCTTCTGAGTAACTCATTCCAGCAAACATGACAACATACTTTCATCTCACAATATTTGGTTCCTGCTCTAGCTGCCAGTTCTACAAAGGAGCAGTGGGACAGCAGTTCTTATACCTTGTGGTGGGATTTAGGAAAGAGGCAGTGGAGGAGTTGCTAAACACCGTCTCAGAAGAGGCTACAGTGCAGCTAGTTGTTAAGCCTCGTCAGGCAGAGTTCCTCCTGCCTTCTTGGGCCCAGCAGTAAACCTGTTGGTGTCTTGTTAGAACCCCCACAGAGAGCAAGCCTGGCGAAGGAACAAAATGACAACACAATTCCAAACTGTATGAGTGAGCTACTACGGCAACCAGGAGCTTTAAACAAATAAAGAAACAAATAAAGCAAGCAAGTAAGCAAGCCTGCACTGGGCCTCCAAAAAATAAATTGCCATTCTAATCTACCCAAAAGTGGCTACAAAATAATCAAGACGTTGCTAGTCTTTGGACCTTTGGTTGCCTTCAGCCTTGCTAGAGTCTGATGGCATCCTGACTAGAGATGGGGAGGTATTTGTATTTGTATACAAATATGGATATCCCTGCACAGGTGGAAATAAAAAAAGACCAGCCCCATGGGGGGCCAGACTGTCTACGGTTTTGCTGCTGCTGCTGGCTCTGTGGACCAGCCCCATGGGGGGCCAGACTGTCTGCGGTTTTGCTGCTGCTGCTGGCTCTGTGGAGGCTTCCTATCGTGCCACCGTCCGCAATCGATTACCTAGTCCTGCCAGGAGGTGGGATGACAAGCCTCTCTGCCAGGTCGAAGAATGGCTAATCCATTGCGGAGAACAGTGTGATAGGAAGCCACTGTGGAACCAGCGGCAGCAGCGAAATCGTGAGTGGACAGTGTGGTCCCAATGTGGTAATGAAAGTAATTCACATACTGTACTATACTGGGTGCTACCACACCCCATTTATCTTCAGAAGCAAATCCCTACTTTGCTAATTTCTGGCTGGAATTATTTGTAAGATTGTGTTTAGAGGTCAGTGCAGCTAATTGTAGAAGGAAAGCTAGATGTGATCTTTGGAAGGTGGTGCTGAGCAAGTAGAGTGAATAAAACTATCTATCTATCTATCTATCTATCTATCTATCTATCTATCTATCTATCTATCTATCTATCTATCTATCTATCTATCTATCTATCTATCTACCTACCTACCTACCTACCTACCTACCTACCTACCTACCTACCTACCTACCTACCTACCTACCGTATCTATCTGTTTATTTTACCCTACCCTTCTCCTTAAAAGGACCCAAACCAAGTGCTGTGAAGTTCAGCCAGTAACATAAGTAGGTTTTCTTTTCCCTTTTCAGCTCCAAGATGGTTGGTATCAGGATACTTTCTACGGTAGAAGGAAGGAGTAGAAGCAGCAAGATCTCCCATCAAAAGGAGATATTTTAGAGGCTGTGGGGGAAAGGAGGCAAATGCCAAGGCAAGGAGGTTGGGGTTACCGGTTGCGCAGCTTCAACACAGGCAGTGGATCTTGCTTCTGAGCTGCAAATCTATATGTTATATTCATTGAAAAGCACTAGTCTATCCCTAGAGAATTGGGTTAGAATTATGGATTCTCCTCAGACTACTCATATGAATTGGTTTACTTAGTCCTGAGATATCTCTATTCTCAGCATCGGCCAATTTTGTGAATGACCAGGGTTCATAGTGGTCAGTACTGTACTTTCTGCATGTGATGCCCTTCTGAATCCACAGTCTTGCTCCTTACCAAGTAAATTGCATGTATTTCTGTAATTCTAGACAATGCTGAATGCATCTGATGAGCTGCAGCCCAAGAAGGCTCATGCTATAATAAATGTATGAACTTTTATGAAGCCATAGGATTGTTGGTTGTTTCTGCCTCAACAGACTAATATAGATAGCCACCCACAAATTCCTCCCAATGAAACAAAACAAACAAACAAACAAAAAAGAAAAAAGAGAGAGAATGAAAAGGCAAAATAGCAACTCTTAGAATGAGAACCTGTTTATGTCTGAAACATTTGGAATTATGAACTTTGGCCATTTCCTTTCTAAAAGGATATTGCAGCACAGGCAAGCACCAAATCACAAAGATCTGACAACTCTCAAGCTGTCACATTCCTGTCTAAATCTTGTGATTTTTAACAGCATCATCTTTCACAACCGAAAGCTAAACTTGCTAAACAAGTTATTGGAAGACATTACACATTTATGATATATAGATTAGTCCAGTGTTGCCTACGACTGCTGTCCTATGCACACTGGAAAAAAGTCCCATCTGTTTTAGTGGGACTTCCTTCTGGGTCCACAGAATAGGGCTGTGTTGTTAAAATCTTAAGTACTTCCCTTAAAATATGCAACACTAATATCAAGAGACTATACTCCTAAATAAATGTGTTCAGGATAAAGGTATAGCAGCACAATCTTACGTATGCCCATTCAGAATGAAATCCCATTGGGTTCAATAGGCTTAAAGCTTGTTCAGTGTTGCACTGTAACCTAAGTGAAATTAACTGTGCAATCCTATACAAGTCTATTAAAAAATAAAACTACTTCCAGATCAGGCTTTTATTCTATACTACATGATCACCGTGTCTCATTCTTGGAATTTTACAGAAGAGGGATTCCAGGTACTGTATTGCCATCTTCTCTTTGGAACCCTGCTATACTGTATTTTCCCACCATTTCTTCCTTCTTCTTTCTTGCCACAAAAAAAAAAATCCATTGAGGAGAGAATCAGGAGGTAGCTACATAATGCTTTTTTGATCTGATCTGCTAAGAAACATCTATCTGGAAGTGATCTATGGCTCATGAAGCTCAACAAGGCTCATACCCCGGTGGGTCCTGGCTTGCAGCTTGACTATAGGTTTTCTTCCAACTGCTCTTGCCAAGTTTGTGTCTTTTTTTTTTTAAGGGAGCAGTAGCCAAGCAGCCTGGTGTTGGGAGGACAGAGCTTTGTCCTCCCCCTTCTAAGCTAGCCTATTGCCTTAGTGTGTGGTAGAGGGTGTTGCAGTGTTACAGACACCACAATGTTGCCTGTACAGTGGTGCCTCGCTAGACAATGATAATCCGTTCCACTGCAATCGCTGTTCAGCGAAATCATTGTCTAGCGAACAGCATTTCCCCATTGGAATGCACTGAAACATGTTTAATGTGTTCCAATGGGGGAAGAATCATCGTCTAGCAAAGATTGGCCATAGGAAAGCTGCCGATCAGCTGTTTAAATCGCTGTCTTGCGAAGCTTAGGTCCCGAAAACACCTGTCTGCAAGCGCGGGGGGAGCTGTCAAAATCATCGTCTAGCGAAAATCAGTTTGCAAAGCAGGGACCAAACATTATCCAGTGAAATTCCCCCATAGGAATCACTGTTTTGCGAAATGCTATAGCGATCGCAAAACGCCAATGTCTAGGGAAAAAACTGTCATGCGGGGTAACTGTCTAGCGAGGCACCACTGTAGAAGGGCAAAAAAAACCCTTATTTTATTCTCTACTTCAGGCTGCAAAGAAGGGCAAAAAACTTATTTTATTCTCTACTTCAGGCTGCAAAATATCTCAGACCACCAATTATGCTGGAAACTTTGCTGAAGGGTGAAGACTCTGTGCTCTATGTCTTGATCCACATTATTTGGGGGTGAAGGTGCAGCCTTTTGCATAAGACTGCCTCTCAAAGGAAGGGAAGCTAAGCAACTGCGGACGGGCCCCGGTCTAGTTACTCACCCATCCTCATCCTTACCCAAATAGTGCATGAGCTGGCCCTGGCCTGTGTGTGTCATCTCCCCCTGCTTGTTGCTAACCGCGCCCTTCTTTCTTCACTTCGAGAGAAAGTACTTGGCACTTACATCTCTCGGGCAAACCCCAAGACCGATGCCAGCGCAGAGACCTGCCAAGGGACGCGGCGGCTTGCAAACGCCGAGCCGTCAGAAAGTTTTTCAGGCTGTGGCGCCCGACTCTCCCGAAAACAGACATGCCCGTTTCTCTAGCTGCCGGTTGTTCATTTGTGGGGCTTGGGGGCTTAAACCTCTCCCCCCATCAAACCACACCTCTACACACGATTCCTTCTTCCTTCGTAGATCAAACGAGGAGGACGACCGCGAGAAATAAGGATCGGCTCGGTCCTCACCCTGTCTTTCCGATCCCCCTCAGAATAATAACAATAATAACAACAATAGCAATAATGATGATGCTGGTTAGCGCCCTGAAGTTGCCAGGCCGTACTTACTGCGCAGGGACCTAGCGAAGAGGAAGCTGCCGGGAAGGAACGTCACGGCTCTACAGGATTTCCCTGCAGCCTGTGGGAGCCGCGCAGCCGCTAATGCTTTGGGCTCCAGGCGCAACCTTCCGTGTTGCCCAATCGGAGCAAAGCATCCCCACGATGACAACATGGGGTTGGGCCCAGATCCCGTCCCAGTGAGAGTCTGCCCGCTGAAACCAGTTAAGGCCGCAAAGTCATTGTCTCCAGCCGAACTCTACTTTCGCGAGCGGGGCCGAACTGGCGGGCTGCAATGGTCCTCTTTTGCAACGAGAATCACGCAGAATCTTAAGAGAAGAAATCTGAAACAAGCCAGAAGTAGAAGTAAACGCAGAACCATGTAGCGCTTTATTAAAAACTCACGAGCTGTGTTTGACTTCAGCGTTCACGACGCCCTTCCATTGATTTCAGTGAGTCTCCTTTGAGTAGGACGAAGCTTGGGTCCAACCCATGTTTTAAAACAACGGGCGCCCCATCCTAAATCGGTTTTTTTAGCAGTAAAGTGAAACAAGGTGTACGTGGGAACGCACATTAATAAAGACCTTTAAATGAAGCTGGGGTGTCATTCAGTCTAGGAGGGACTAGGAAAGGAATGGACGCTCGGACTGTGTTATGGATCAGTACTGATGCGCTACAACGGAATCACGCGCGGAGTCTTTGCAGCGAAATTCTACTCAGCCCATCCGCCACTACACCATCGAGGGACTTTAGACTGCAGACAACGGCTCTGTTTTTCTGCTACACTTTGAAGACCACCACCCACCTCGGAAGGCATCACACTCTCTCCCAGATACCGCGGAGCAACAAGTCTGATTGGTTATAGAATTATCGGTTGTTGTTTAGTCGTTTAGTCGTGTCGGACTCTTCGTGATCCCCATGGACCAGATCACGCCGGGCCCTCCTGTCTTCCACTGCCTCCCAGAGTTGGATCAAATTTATGTTCGTAGCTTCGATGACACTGTCCAACCATCTCATCCTCTGTCGTCCCCTTCTCCTCTTGCCTTCACACTTTCCTAGCATCAGGGTCTACCGAATTATCGGTGGCAGGATGTAATTGGCTGCTTGTAAGATTGGGAAGATTGCTTTTGAATTGTGGTGCTGGAGGAGGCTGAGGCTCCAATACTTTGGCCATCTCATGAGAAGAGAAGACTCCCTGGGAAAGACCTTGATGCTGGGAAGTGTGAAGGCAAGAGGAGAAGGGGACGACAGAGGACGAGATGGTTGGACAGTATCATTGAAGCTACCAACGTGAAGTTGACCAAAATCAGGGAGGCAGTGGAAGACAGGAGGGCCTGGCGTGCTCTGGTCCGTGAGGTCACAAAGAGTTGGACATGACTTAACGACTAAACAACAACAAAAGATTGGGAAGAGTGTTCCCCTGATGCTCTGGTTGGAAAACATGGCTCCTCTTGTTTCAATTGGTTAGAAAATACTTACAGTACAAGAGAGAAATATGAAAGTCAGGTGTCTGATAGCAGAACAACTTACAGCGCTTTTTCTTCTAGGATTCATTATCACCATCATAAAAGGGGGTGGGCTAATGTTTATAATAGAATCTTTATTCTTTTGTTGACAATGCAATCCTCTTTATAACAGCTGCACTCCCACTTAAAATTTATTAACAGGTGGAGTGTATTCCAAATTCCAATTCTCATCTCACAAAATACAAACACAGCTCTACCATCAGTTTAACAAGAGTTTCTTGTTAATAAATAGAGATTCTCTGGAAGTCATTCTTATTTAACAAGTCATTAAGATTGCATGTCAGCTTATCATTAATGGCTGTATTCCAAATTTCTTTGGAATTTCCAGATGACGATATTCCATTCATTTAATTGAAAGTCATATTTTATTTTCCAGTTCTTTACTATTATTAATCTGGGCACTGTTAATAAAGTTTACAATAATTCTTTTTTAGTCTATTCCCATTGCACATTATCAGATATTGATAAAAATGTAGTTTTAGAATGTGATGCCATATTTAACTTAATTATTTTATATATTTCCTTAAAAATGAAGGGCCTGTCCAGACAGGTAAATTTGTCATGGTTCATACTAAAACAATTCTTATTAAAATTGAGGATGAATATAAAAACAAATTGCAATTTTTGATGAATATCACCATTTTGTGACATGTTTATTGCTCTGTATTCATCAGTTCCAGAGACCCTGATGAATACAAAGTGAAGAATATTTATCCAATGTATTCGCGAAGACTTTCACGGCTGGGATCGTTGTTGTGGGTTTTTGGGGCTCTTTGGCCATCTTCTGAAGGTTGTTCTTCCTAGCGTTTCGCCAGTCTCTGTGGCTGGCATCTAGGGTGTCATTCAGTCTAGTGCTGTCCTCTGAAGATGCCGGCCACAGAGACTGGCGAAACATTAGGAAGAACAACCTTCAGAACATGGCCAAAGAGCCCAAAAAACCCATAACAACCAATATTTATCCAGTTTTATTCATTGCGCCATCAATTTGTCTATATTCATCAATTCTTCACCCCTTTTTTTGGGCCTCTGTGCCATCTCTGCAGCCTGCTGGTGCCTGATTGCTTTGGGCAATCAGGAGATCCTGGACTGGACAGGCAGGCAGGCAGCCAATAAGCACTGCTGAAAGGGCTGCGGAGGTTGTACCTTTTTCAGAGGCTTTATAAGCCTTTTCCCTGCAGCCATTTCCCACTTCTGCTCTGATTCTTGGGCTGAGGGCAGTTGAGTTGGTGTTGGCTGGCTATGTTTTCACTTTTGTGGCAGTAAAGCAAACAGACTTTATTTCATTATTATTATTTGAAATTTACTGTACTGGGAATTTGGGAAGGAGTTTCTTTAACTGTGGGTTAAAGGCAGACTGCAGAAGAATTGATGCTTTTGAATTGTGGTGCTGAAGGAGGCTCTTGAGAGTCCCCTGGACTGCAAGGAGAACAAACCTATCTATTTTGAAGGAAATCAACCCTGAGTGCTCATTGGAAGGACAGATCCTGAAGCTGAGGCTCCAATACTTTGGCCATCTCATGAGACGAGAAGACTCCCTGGAAAAGACCTTGATGTTAGGAAAGTGTGAAGGCAAGAGGAGAAGGGGACGACAGAGGATGAGATGGTTGGACAGCGTCATTGAAGCGACCAACATGAATTTGACCCAACTCTGGGAGGCAGTGGAAGACAGGCGGGCCTGGCGTGCTTTGGTCCATGGGGTCATAAAGAGTCGGACAGGACTTAAGAACTAAACAACAACAACTTTTCAGTTAGAGGGTACTTATTTTTGAGGCTTGTGTTCAGTCAGGTTGAGTGATCTCAGAGGGGGATTTTGTGTGTGTGGATTTTTACCCTTTCCCCCAAATTTATTTCCTGACTGAGCATTTGAGTGTCTCTGTGTGGGTAGCGTTTCTCTGTAGAGTGTATATTTAGTTATATAGGGGTATACAGTTAGTTTTCCTGCTTCTTCCCCCCATTACTCTTTAAAAAAAAATTTAAACCCTTCCATTCCTTTCCCACCATCCTGTTTGTCATTTTAAAAAAATTACTGCACCTTCTCTATGATCCCTCTTAGTTTTTCCTTCCCCTCCCATTTATTTGTTTAGTGGTTTGACAGGCAGGGATATAGGGCAGGCAAAAATTAAGCCCACTGTCCACCATGGGGTATCCACGGTGAAGATGCATAGGCCAGGCACCACCACCCTCCTCCAGTGGCCTTGCAAGCAGGTGTGGAAGCAGAGTTTCCAGCAGAGCCGAAAGAACTGGCACTCCTCTTCTTCAAGGAGTCTGAGGAGTTACTGATTTCAAAAGGATCCAGAAACCTCCCCGTCCTCAGAACCAGGAATGGCAGGGCAGGCATCTGAGGAGTTACTGGTTTCAAAAGGATCCAGAAACCTCCCAGTCCTCAGAACCAGGAATGGCAGGGCAGGCTTCACAACCCCACCCCTGTCCCTAGAGTCGTCTCTTCCCTCCTCCAAGACCAGAACCGCTGGCACACATTCTTCCCAGGCCAGCAGCAGTCAGGGGCAGGCAGTGGGTCATCATTTTGCCAAATAGGACAGAGGGTCCCTGTGGGATCATTTCATAGCTGTCAACCATGGTCCATGGCTGGTGTGCTGCAATGAGGAGGCAGAAGGAGGCACCTCCTTCCAAAAGGAGAGCCACTGGGGTTTCTGAGACTCAGAGCACGAGGCAGGCCACGATCCATGGAGTTGCACCCATGGAATCTGCACTGACCCTCAGCCAGCAGATGAAGAACAAGGCACAGGAGGCAGCCTCTTGTCACCAAGACAATTGCCCTGATCGGGCTTCTACCATGGAAGTCTTGGCCCTCCGCCAATTGCTGCATGTTTTCACCCCCTAGTCTGACTCCTCCCTCTCACAGAGGACCCTCAATACTACAGTGCTGCCCTCACTTTATGACTCTGTGAGGGAAGTGGTCTGTGCCCAGCTTTCATGGGCAAAGGGGTGGAAGGTAGTCCTGTGGAATGGAAGTCCTGTGGATTGGAGGTCACCATGGGTACCTCTCTGGTGGCAACCGGAGGACTTGAGGAGTGGTAAGGCATTGGTGACAGGGCCACAGGGTGAGGCCCCATGTCCTGTCCTCAGGCTACAGTTCTGTTCTGCTGCAGACATGGCACACAGAGACTTGGGCGATGGGGAGGAACATCGCTGATGAGTCCCTGGCCATGCTGCAGCAGTGGGCACCAGAAGGGGAGGTCATCCATGGCCACATGGTCATGGATTGGATGCTGGATGCAACATGATGGCAGCATTGAATGTGGTGGGCTTCTAGCCGCCTAGAGTAGTCTTAATTGATTAGATAGGCGGGATATTAAATAAATAAACGAATAAATAAATAAATAAATAAATAAATAAAGGCATCATGTTCATGGCACACAAATTACACCTGGTAGTGCCGAAGCCCTTCCAAGAGACCACTGGTATCTTGTGTGGCTACAC